GCTGGCCCGCTTTTCTATCTTTGAACCCTTCAAGTTTGTAATCATCCATTGGTCGGCTATAGCTGTGTGGCAGAGACACAGCAAAATCACAGAGAAGTGCAGTGGTCATGAAGTACAAGACAGGGAAAACCTTGGTTGTCACAGGGTAATAGTATTTTGACATCGATCATCATTTTTCTCCTGCTCTTTCATGCTCTATCTCTCTTTCTTGTCCTCTCTGCAGTCATCTCTCTCTCTCTGTCTTCCACCCCTTTAGCAGACAATCTGACAGGGTCTGTCCCACTGGCCAACCATTCAGCACTCATCATGCGCATCATTTCCTCTCATCATTCCCCCCGGTGTGCTTCTTCCATCTCCTCTGGCCTGTTCGCTCGCCATTAACCACTCCCCGTAAACCCTTTTATTTGTGTCTGTGTGTGTTTGTGCCTCAGTGTGTAGTGTATATGCATATCTGTGGTATATATAGGTATGCGTAGTATCACATGTATCCTGCTTTTGCATATTGTTTGCTTAAGTGTGTGTTTTTGTGTGTCAGCAGTGTGTCTATACATAACATTATCTCACAAAAAGGATGTGTCATGGTGTGCGCTGCGGGGTGAAATGGGTTGTGGTATCAGTTTGAAACAACCACAGCAGGATAATAAAATCTATTTTCATGTCAAAGCAGCAAATTATAGCTTTATTTATTGTTTCTTACATCATGTGTTGAAGCAAAAAGTGCCCCACCTCTGTCACCTCTACTGCTGTTAGTAAGCGTATATGTGTGCAGCTACATATGTTCTTGGTTTAGAATGCAAACAACATTTACTGTACTCTTAGCTACTCCATTATGTAGTAATATCTCTAGAAAGAAATTGTTGAGAAAGAGGATGAAAAGCCTTTACACTGCAGTGATATAGTGATCCTTTCTCAATTCCTACAAACATAGCATCAAATTAAAAATATCCTGCATTTACATGTTGTTCTTGTGTTTCCTTCTACATGATACATTTGATGTTTGTTGCTTTTGTCAAACCTTTATTGCAAAACAGAATTAGAGGTGCCTTGGCCTACTTTCCAAACCATCGAGGAGCAAATAATCAGCCCGAGCTGAGGATTTGCCTGGCAGTCTCTCAAACGTGGATGCTTGTGAAACATCCTTTTCTGCAAGTGTTGGGTTTCACCGAGAGACTTTCGAGAGCGTTCAGTTATTCTTTGACAGGGACAAAAGTGAGATCTCTACTGCCACCTAGAGTGTAATAGCAGGTGGTTCATGGGAGAGAGTTGTGTGTGGTTAGAGGGGATTATTTCTAAAGATGTTTATTGTAAAAAATTATATTCATGATATACATCCAATTAAATAGGTACTGTATTTCTGCACATGTCATAAGTGGCAGCTTAGACTTGCATAACTCCCGTGGTTGTTCATTTATTTATGTAAAGTCTGAAATTTCAGTATTTACTCCAACCGACAATGTGATTTTAGTCTTTTTTCCTTTGTGGACTTTCTCTTTCGCTGCCTCTCCGCCTCCTTCCTAGATGAGCCCACTCCTCACAGCACAGAAGTAATGCCAGAACAGTTCCTGGTGCCAGAAATTGCCCGAAGGTTTGTAAATGAACTACTTGTTGTTCAGAGTGTGGGAAGATTTTTCTTTTTATTATACAAATAACCCACTACTAGCTACCAAAAAAAAAAAAGAGAAAGCCAGGGATCATCAGAGGCTTAAAATCCTTTTGAAGTATTATCCACCATTTTTTCTTTTTTTGTCGATTTCCTCTTCTTTGTTATTAATTTTTTGTCCTTTGTAGTCTGCTCTATGCTTCTACCACACAATAAAGAATATCCCAGCATCTGTTTGCTGATTGTGTTCCGCAATGATTTTTCTAATCACTAGTTTCATCTCGCTTTAATTAAACCTTTCATTGGACAGAGACACGGGCCATTATGCTCTCTATATTTCAGAGAGAATGGATTGGAAAATGACTAATACCTTATGCTGACCTTTCTCAATCGCTGCCTGCTGGCAAGGCTATGCAAAGCAATTTCACCAACATATTTATCTCATCCAAAGCACACCTTAGACTTAATCCTAATGGTCTTTTCATTAGCCTTTTAATTGAGCAGCGTGGAGAGTGTTAAAATGTCTCTCAGCAGCATTTGAAAAGTAGCCTCACGTCAGATCCAGCCTGTATACATTCATTTGGGGTAGTTAAACCCGCGTTAACCTCCAAGTATAGTCATCAATCACGCATGCTCTCCCTATTTTATTCTTAATCTGACCATGTGACATAGTAAATAACCTGCTGAATGAGTCTGGCTCACATTTACAACCATTTGTGCGTCACAGGGTTGGGGGAAGTAATGTAGTTCAATTAATGAGAGGATTTCAATAAGCTCATGACAAAATGCAGACTCTTGTTAAGTACAACTACTATAAAACACATCATATACAAGAAATACATTTAACAAACCCGCTGGATGCTTTGTATATTGGATTGTAGGGTACATGGTTGACTAGAAATGTGTTTCATTTTAAACAGGTATTTATTGATTTTTAAAACAGATACAGTTTCTAAATAACGGTGATGACATTTAAAAATTACAGTCAGGAGAACAAACAGCATTTTTTTTATTTTTATTTTTTTTAGATTTAACTGCAATATATAAGGACACTAGACAGATAAATATCCAATTAACTAAGATTAATCATATGCGATAAATAAAACATTTTTAAAGTGGTAGACAGTTACAGTTTTTGGACTCCAAGAAGAAAAAAATGTCTGTGTTCTGCACATTAATCAAATAAATCTACCACAGGATTACATCACTGATTACAGTTTGAAGCATGTGATTTTTCCAACCTTGGGTATTCATTCAGACATGGAAGATAATTGTTGTACATTGCCTGCTCTGTATGAATAATAGGATCTAATCACAATCACTTCATAATCAACCCCAAGAGGCATTCTCATCTGTACACAAATCCGAAGAAGATGGTGTGAAGTTTGTGAGACGGCCAGTAGATGGCAGTATATCCTCAGCTTGTCTGGACTGGCAGCAGAATATACCAGGGACAAGGGTCAAATAACACAGCAGTGTTGACCAGGAGAGGGTCAACACATAAATATCTCCGGGGACTTTCTCAAGTGCCTTGTGCAGCTACTTAGTGTGAGATTTGCCAGAGGAAAAGGCAGAAGTCCCATTTCCACCTCAGCAAAATGAAATCAGAAGCCCCTGGGATTTGACTCTGACCTTCCTGGCTTTCACTGCTGCTGAGTGATTACTGAAATATAAGAGGCTAGAAGGTGTAGGGCTGTATTAACTACATAAGGGTTTACAGCACAATGCTAAAATCCAAATGTGAGACAATATATATATATATATATATAAATATTAATAAGGATTATCTTCTAATTAACATCTCACCAACTACCTCATTAACTATAATTTAGAATCTCATGAAGCATAAAGTCACAAATGCACAAAGGGATTATTATATAAAAACAGGAAGATACTAGACACTAGATAGTTCCTGCATTAAGCAACAATCCTTTGTACTGTACAGTATAATGTAAGGCTAAATGCCAATCTTGTTTGTTTAACGTTTGGTGGACAGGAATTCCTTTGGTTCACTTCAGACCTGCATGCATTTTATTGGCTTGTGTGGGATTTGGGCAGGAAACCAGAGCTAATGCCCCCTCTCCCACTTCAAACGGATGCCAGGCACCCTTAAATGTCATGGGGTGGTTAGAGAGTTGAAGGAGGTGGGAGTGAGGGGGATTGAGGAGTGAGAAGCTGGGGCTCGCTGGGCAAAAGAGAAATCCAGCCACACCAGAGCCCTCTCAGAGCTTATCAGTGTGTGCTGGATGTAGCCTTCCTGAGGCTGCTAAGGCAAACCAGATGCAGTGTAGGTTGCTCTGTGCCACTACGTGTCAGGTACAGCCTGGGTCAACCTGAGGCTTCTTGGTAGTATAGGAGGAGGCCAATGTACAGTAAACTCACTGCAGATGGGCCCGGCTAGCATGGAGTGGAGTGTTGGGTCCTGCGGTTTATCCTCTTGATTTGACAGCATCTTTTGAAAAGTTTTGAAGGTTTCATGGTGTCACTTCAATTACTCACCCCGATGGATTTCTTCTGCATTTTAGATTGACAACTTGCAGTGGTTTATAGCTGGAGTATCAAAGCCTGCGAGTGTGTGTTCTGGGATGTGTTGGTCACTGGGAATCCCACGGTGTCTTTCTACTCTTGCCAGCAGCAGTGTTTATAGGATTTTGTCTCATTTTCTCCAGTGTTAATTTATTTCCATAAAGGCAGCCATGACACATTCTCTCCTCTGCCTTCTGTCTCTGTGTGGCTTTACTTTACTGAGCTTTGAATTTTTCTCCCTGTCTCTCTGTGCTGAATGGAAGAATAGACCGGATTGACCTTGGTCCCTGCTGTATGGTTATTTTGACAATGAGCATCATCATCATTGTCAATTTCTATCCGTCTCTTCCTCTTTGTGTCTCTCCTTCTCTCTCTCTGAAGCTCTACGTGTCTACACCCTGCCATTGCATTGTTTTGCGGTTTTGGATAGGTTCTAACTATATTGTTACGCTTCCTGAGGTATGTGATTATGGTTCATCTGTGTCAGTGGGTAAATGAACATGTTGTGGCATGGCTGACTTCAATTTCCCATGTCTCTCCTAAGTCTCTCAAATCTCCAGCTTGCCAGTATCATACTCCTCCCTCCTTGTGGGTCTGTTTGGCAACCAGAAAATACCATCTCTCTCATCATCCGGATTATATGGAGCTCATTTGCCTTTGATTGCAAAACCATTAATGCACAAATGTATTGGTGACTGACCTGTGACCTTTCTCATCGACTGGCAAGCGAAACTGGTTTCATCACTTCTCCTCTCAGGCTCTTTGGACCCCAGGGGTCTGGGTCAGGGTTTGGTAGTGTTTGTGCTGCCTTTCTGTCAGACTTCCATGATCCACTGCCACTTAACGAGGGAGAACAAGGCTGAGAAATGAGGCATTTCCGGGCTCAAGGGTTTATTCCTACAGCACAGTGGATTACATTACAACATACAAAGGGGAGACATGACTCATTTTTTAAGAAATCTTCTGCTCTGAACACTGTTCCAGATCATCTTAGTGTCTAATCTGAAAGGAGAAAGCTTGCAGACAGGATACAAAGCTTTGGGACGTGTCTTTACACCATGTCACATATTTTCTGACTCTATCCAGTTCTATCTGTACTTTTAAAAAGGTGAAGCATTCTGCTGAGTCCTAATCAGGCTTACATTGTTATACCCTCAGGAATTACTCTGCTGGATGCTAAAAAAAGGCTTATCACATATCCAGTGGAGCAGCTCTATCTGCCCCGGTGTTTCTTTTTTTACTTTTCATTTTCCCTCATGCCACAAATATGATGTAAAACAGGAAGAGATCCAAATGGAAAAAAGAAGTGAATGTAGTCTTTGTTTCTGTTCTATGTTTTTTCTGGAAATATGTTTTTCATAGGCATTGTTCGGCACATACATTGAAACAATATGGATTATACATTACTGTCTATCAAGAGCAAAGTTATGTACATATGGTGAAGCTTTAGAATAAAAAAAAGTTAAATAAAAACAAAAACACTGCTATATTACTATGTGACATTCCTAACTAAAAGGCATTTGGCAACAATCAATAAACATGTTCACATATGGAGGTAAATAACTAACTAACAAAAGCTGACATGACATTTCACATTATGGGTTATTCTACAGACAGATATCAATTTAAAAAAGTGCTAAACATTTTGCACCATCCTCGTCACCACTGCCTCTCTCAGTGTCTCTTTACTTCTCTCCGTCATATCATCAGATGGCCATCACTTTCCGTCGTGCAGGGGTTTCCATGGTGACCACATCCCTCTCTGCGCCGATTGGATCAGGGTTGACCATGCGCTGCAGGAGCAGAGGGTGCTGCTGGGAGGTTAGGCTGGGCACAGGCTGGCGAAGGACAACAATTTGAGCGCTGGGTCCCTGCAGCAGGATGTCAGTCAGCTCTTTCTGTGTAGAGTTGACCACTGGTACACCATTCACCTCCACCAGTCTAGGAGGCCAATAATATAAATAAAAATGCCACAGAGACAATGTCATCAATACAACCGAGCATCATGTCATTCCAAGTTAAAAAAGTGTACTGTACTTCAATGTTATAATTTTCTTTCAACTCAAATGTTTATTTGGCCTCTCTACAGGTAAAGGCAGGACCTCTCTAATGCTTATTTAACAAGCAACAAATAATATCAAAGAATTCACAAATCACTAAGCATTAAATATTAAAAACATCACCTTTACACAGAGATCATTAAAAATTCCCTCCATTTGTTTTTATTTATAGCCACCCGGATAAAACCGTCGAGGGAAATAACAACCCTTTGTGTTTTTTCATTAGCTATGTAGAGAGCATTGGCACAGATGCTGCGATAAGTGAACACACACAGTGAGGCTCAAAGACTCTTCTCAGCTTCTGTGGTTCTCTCTCTCTTTCTTTGGCAGGATTGTCTCAAAGAGGGATGTCAACTGCTGTGTGGTGTGTGTGAATACTCACGAGTTTGACAGTGCTGCGCATCTAAGTATGTACTTGTTGTAATGCAGTAATTGCTTAATTATGTGAAGTTCTTTTATCTGCTCTTTTTCACTCTCTTCTGCATCCAAGTATTAAATTACATTGTTTGCTTGCTTTGGGGCTAATATCTGATGGGTTTCCATAGCTACCAAGCATAGGAAAATAAGAGTGAAAGAAACTGGTGGGATGAGAGAGAATACTGCTATCACTAACTTTGTCATTAAGCCTGGATAAATTACTTGGTTTGTGTTTTTGTACGTGTGTTACCTGTCATTCACACAGAGGTGAGAGTTGTCCACTTTGACCACCACTAGTCCGCCGCCTTCTCTGTAGTGACACGTAAAGCCATAATGGCCATCAGGGTTGTGGTTCTCCTGTACAACCAGCAGCATGGCGGGAGACTGCGGTGACACCAGCTGGCTCAGGCTACTGATGGCCAAACTCTTTTTCTGAGCTTTCTCCTGAATGCAGAAACAGCAAGAACACATTCATAAATGCAAGGGCACGGTCCTGTTAAATGCAAATGGTTCAGAATTTAAGACATAGTCCATTTGTGGTAGATTGAGGTAAATTTCATGTAAAATATATCATATGTGACACAAGTAGTATTTTTATAGGCCTGTTTCATGCTTTCATTTTGTCCAACTTGATCAAATAACTCTTATAAATTCTCACCTATAGTATATTTGCAGTAAGTAAAGTGAAATTTAGCATTTTGGGAAACACACTTATTCCCTTTCTTGCTGAGTGTTAGAGGAGAAGATCAATAACACTGTCATATCTGACTGTAAAATACAGCCAGCAGACGATCAGCTTAGCTTAGCATAAAGAATGGAAATGGGGAAACAGCTGGTGGGCTAAAAAGATTCAAAAGTAACCAAGTGGAACATCTTTAAAAGAATAACTCAAAGATGTCAAAGAAGTTTCAAACTTTGTGTGTTTCTGTGCCTCTGAAACATGAAACTGACTAGTTATCACTTCCTTGAGATAAAATTGTAACTTTGTTTCTTGGAATAAAGCTTAACGATAATAGATACCATTATGTAGAAGTCCCCAAGATATTAAACTGAGGCCAGAAGACCACCAAGATGTAATGATTAGCTTTGGAAAAGATCATACCACAAGTAGCTTGCAGGGATCAGAAAAAAAACCTGTGAGTCTGACCACTGAATTCCAATGTTCCCTTATCCAGCCTCTTGGCATACTCCCCCTCCCCCCAATGGCATGTGAATGCCTTGCAGCAATAGATGCCGCCTTGCCAGGGTCAGGGGTCAAAGCTAAGACTTCTCTCTCCTCAGACAAGTGGGCCAGACAGGATATATTCGCGGAAATGCAGCTGAAGCCCCTTGAGAAACACTCTCTAATGCGCATCATTTTCCCTTATAGTCCCTCAATGTTGGACACAAGAGCCCAAAGAATTTTCTCTTCATTTTCTTCTTGTTTATCCACAAGGTCTGATCAAATCCAACCCTACCTGGGCCAGACACAGGGCACATATCCCATACACACACCAGACACAACCAATGTAGTAGTAGGCAATTAAAACACTGCTATTTAAGATCAAAAAGGTCGCTCCAGTGAGAAATAATGGCTCACCTTTTTTCCCAGTAATGAGTATATAAGTTGCAAATTGCATAAAGACAATAATTTGCCTCCATCATAGTAAGCTACCACATGATGTGGGAAAGGACTTTGTTTCACCTAGTATGAGAAATGATTCCCTGACAGGCCAGACAACATGGATGCTAAGTGGAAGAGATTGCATTTCATTTATAATGATGGGTGTTAGTAGTTCTGAATTCAGTGCTGTCATTCTGAATGCAGACGCCTTGGCTGATCCAACAGCAGAGATCCTTTATACAGTCAACCTTGGGGTAGAAAATGGAGGATAAAGTAATGAGAAACAATCTGACCACATTGATCAACTGCAACTTGTATCATAACTGTTTCTATACAAAACCTGGAAGCACCCTATCTATTTCCTAACATCTGGGGCTTGCCATGGAAAAGAGGTGGCAGATTTTTCACAAAACTTAATCCATCCTGAACAAACATGAGACTAAAGAGCGGGCGAAACAGTAATTCTTCCAATTTCCCCTCTTTAATAGTCCGTCTGAAGTTTTTGAGTTGTCTAAAGCTAAAGTGCTTATTTAAAATCATTTCCGCCATTTGTTGTCCTTTCCCTCCTCCTCTCAGTCTCTCCCTCTGTTTCTCTTTCTCCTTCCCTCTCGAGCTGCTTTATTGATGCTCTCCAGTTGCAATAGATCTTGGAGATTAGACTGCCGATGATGAAATATTTCCTTATTGTCTGTAATGCTGGGGCAGCCTACAAGACCAAACACAGGGCGGTCTGCTCCTTATTAGAGCACTAGCTCCATCAGTTCCCAGGCTGCTCCACAGCTCTGACCTGTGTGTTAACTCTGATTAGGTCATATGATAAACATTAGCGCTGCTGCTTTTCCCACAAACTCAGCACCTAAAAAAGCGTGGCCCCGGGGCGGCAACGTGACACGGGGCACCTTTCAAAGCCGAAGCCGCGTGTGTCCTTTCATGGCACCTCGTTAGGGCTTCTCCAACGGGATAAAAGAGCCACATTAAAAAAGAAGTGGGCTCCTCCGGGGATAGATGGAGATAGTTTTACACATGCTGGCCCATTTCTCCATTGCACTCTCCCAGTGGCTTTTGTCACACACATTCCATTGTTGGTATGGTCACAGGCTCTCGGATGTCAGCGCTAAACATCATTTTCTCGGAAAAAGTGCATGTTCATCCAAAGGACTTCACTCAGCCTTGTGTACCCATTCTCGCAGCGGGACTAACTGCACAGCTTAAAGAAACAGAGTGGACTGAATAGAGCATTGTGTTGTCACTCAGGAGAACAGTGAAGAGAAGATCAAAGATGATGGTCATAATAAGTGTCAAGTAATGGCCTACCACTTCAGGAAGCTGTTCCCACCTTTCCTAGTGTGTGCTAATTCTACTGTTGGATAATTAAATTAACAAATACATGAACTTCACACATTCTGTACATTCATTTATCCTTTATGTGTGTGATCATCACAATATGGCTTTCATTAGTAATGAAAAGACCAGTTACAATATTTATATTGCACAAGTTGTCCTGATATGGTTAAAGACATTGGGAGCGTTTGGTGAGCCCAAAAAAGCCAAATTTGACTTTGTTCTTTCTTCAGTAGAAGTTTGATTTTAGTATCCCATACCACACATGCTTCTCTCGATAACTAGTGTTGTTTTGGTGCAAATCTAGGTTTCTCACTGTTTATTTTTAGCAATCAAAACAGTCTCTGACTCAGACCATACAGCTTTCCCACATATTGGTGTAACTGTGTTTCACATGCTGTTGATTAAACTCCACTGACTGAGCTCCAGACCTCTAACTTTAAAAATACTGCAGAGGTGCAAATATTCCATGAATGTAGGTTATCTTAATTTGATCAATAGTACCTTAACATAGCTTTCTTGCAAAGCGTTTTGGAGGTGAGCCACCTGTCGGTTGAGATGTACCATGGAAATTTCCTCCTTAAAAACTTGGCAGTTCAGCTTCATCTTTTCCAAGAGACGAACGTCCAACTGCCTGAAAAGAAAAAGGTCACAGATATATATATGTATATATATATACATGCATACCTTATGAAACATGTAGTTATAATGTAGTTAAGGTATTATGTAAATTTAACCAGAGTTAAATAAACATAGCAGATGGTTTATTGTCCTTGGAGTAGCAATGCTTTAGCATCTTTGACTTTTATCAACAATTCCTTTAACTCAGTTAGCTAGTGATACAAACAACAAGACCTCACATATACAGTATATTCTACGTTAATGAGTATTTTGGAGTCTCTTATCTAACTGCCTTTTATGTCTTTGGAAGGTGGAAGGTTTTATGCGTTGTTGAACAAGCTACTAATTAACAGAGACAGTCCACCTACTTTTTCTTGTGAGCAGTGGAGTTGTTAATGTTGTCTCTAAGGGCCTGCAGGCTCTGCCTCTTGTCGTTCAGTTGGCTTTGAACCAACTCCAGCTTCTGCTTCAGCTCAGCAGAGCCAAGCCTGTCTACATTCACATCTCCATCCATGTTCTTTAACTCTGAGCAAAATGCTACCAGGCCGTGGTGGAGCTCCTGGACCTTTGGGGTCAAAAGATCAGTTTTCAGTGGTGATTTTATTTTAAAGTTTTAGTTAATAAATTCTTCACAGTTATGGTTAGTTACAGTAAAAGTTATCGGTTACATATTTTCATAGATGTAGTTGAAGAGAGACATTGACCTGAAGGATGACATTTTGTAGAGAGTCCACCTGTTGGTTTAGCTCCCTGATCCTCTCTTCTTTAGCTGGCTGGTTCACCTGGACATTTTTGTTGATGTTGCTGTTCTCATCAGGGCTCTTGACTTCTGGATTATTTTGTAATGCAGTACCTGAGGACTTCGCCTAGGATGAGAAAAGCATACAAAAAGATATCTTGTTAAATGGTACATATCAGGTAAAGCCTGGTATCTTACATATAAACAAAAGTTAGTGTTACCGTTTTGCACAAGTGCAGCTCCAATTGTCTGTTCTCTGATGTCGATGTCAGAAGAGTCCCAATCTGTTGATCTGGTGGGAGCTCCTCTGTTGAACCTTCAAATCAAAGCATGTGTACAATATATGAATACATACATTGTGCCTTTTTGTGTGTGATAAAGACTGCACAATGTACTGTGCATCATGTATTGTGTACCTTGCTTTTCTTTCAGTATGAAGAGACTGTTATCTTCTGTCATTCCCAACATTTTGATACAAGAATCCAAGATTTTTCCCACCGTTGTTTCCTTTGGGGTTCTGAGATGAACTATCCGCTCTGACGCTGCAACACAACATGACACAACAATTATTAGTAATATAGAAGTAAAACAAGGCTTAATTTATTTTTACATAAGTGTTGATTATGAATATCAAAGAAATGTCCACACCATAGACACTGCATAATGTGACTATAAGTGAAATGCAAATTACAAATTGTAGAGGCAAATTTTTTTAGAAAGGTAAAATGTGACTAAACGGCATTATACCTTTAAACCAATTCGGCGACTCACCATTAATAGTGATCTCTATCAGTTGAGAGTTCCTCTGTACCATGTAGTTTTGGCTGTTGTTTCTATTGTGGAAAAAGGCCAAGAGATTAGAATTAAAGATGTTTTTTGCTTGGTTGTTTACATTACATAGATGAGAGGTTGTACCTGAGCTTGAGGGAACGCCGATTCATGCTCAGACAACTCACATGCGGAGAGGACTTGGACTTGCTCATTGAGACTAATTTTGCAGTGAATGTCTCAATATTATTAGGGCCTAGGGATTCTGTAGAAAAAAAAGAAACGTCAGTAAACAGGACATACTTCATGTTCAGGTAAATTCCTCATGTTGTAATGATAAAAGTATACCAAGCAGTGAGTCGAGTCTTTGGCTGATGGTGCTGGGAGGGTGCAGCTCATTATAAATGGCTGACAGTAGCTGCTCCCTATCTTCCAGTGTGGTGATATGGAGGATGTCCAGAGTGTTTACGTCCACCGCCGCTATGTCTGCTCCACACAGTTTTGCATCTGAAAAGGAAACATTTAGTCACACACCTACATACCTCAAGAAATCAGAGAGATGTGCCGCAGCTTTTAATCTATAATCCACAACAAACATTTGAAAAAGTCCTGACAAACAAATAAAGATGTTTTTTGAGTTTGTCTAACTGAATGCTGGTTATTTTTTATAATTTTTAAAAAGGAAAATGTGGTAATTGGACCTGTAATATCCAACTATTGTCTTTATAAGCAGAAAGTAGAACAAATCAGAAAATTAAAATGTAAGTAGCTCTAATGGTACAAAGATAATAACTTTTACAGCGTTACATTAGCTTTTAGCTATCAGCGACTTTACAAAATGATGTAACTGTTTGTTTTGTTTTTTGGGGCAAAAAGGAAACTAATGACACAAATACCTAATATTGTAACACAAAGCATGGACTTCATGAGATTGTTAAGAATAGTTTGTTTATTATTGCATAAAACTATTGCTATAAAAATATAGCAGTCTAAATTTGATTTATACGGTAATGGTGTCAGATTTAATCTTACATGATCCTCATCTCCTCTTCCTCTTACCTTATTGACAGTGATAAAAAAATGTTTTGATTTGATCTGCAGTGAAGATAAATCAAATTTGCAATGTCTGTTATGCAACCACAGAGCTGGGAGAGGAAGAATGTGTTTTACCTCTGATGAAAGGGAGACATTTCTGCAGTCCGATACTGGTAAACCACTGGCAGACCTCATCTGTGCTCAGCTCTCGGAGAGATTTGGCCACTTTCCCGTCCATGTCCTGGGGAGAAGGAGAGGTTACATACCTGCTGCTTATGCCACATTCTACATGGGCAAAAACCATGGTGTATAATGTCCTCTCTAATTATGTCATCGTGCTCTACACACAAGCAACATACTCTTCAACCATTATTTTGAGATGTGATACAATATTTTCGAATTTTCTAAATACATAAAATAAGCAAAGGTTGGGAATTGCAAAGAGGAGCGGGACATGACGCACAAAGATGATTCAGACCCAAAATGCTGCATGTGAAAACCTATTTAGTAGGCGGCAAGACAAAGGCAGTGAGGCAAAACCTGGTTAAACTCAAAAGCTCTTCATCATTGTCTGTGTCACTGATTCTTTCAAAGTATGACTGTGTTGGATACCCATGTTTCGACATATTACAGCAGATAAACACATTTGTGTGTTTAACTATAAACAAACACTTAAAAAGGACAAAGAAAAGTTTACTTCAACTGGGAACCTAAACACAGATTTCTAAGTAATCGTTGCCTTAGTCACAAATTCTCTGTTTATGGTGTCTCTGGGAAGAAAACTACTATGTTCGCTGCTGCCAGTAGAGGCTTTACAGGGTGACTGTGGAGCGATTAGATAAAATGAGGTAAGAGGTTTGCCTTGTATTAAAGATTTCACTGTTATGGTATGAGACAGAGAGACCTATAGAAAAACCCTATTAGCTCACAATTTAAGGTAACTACATAAATAATCCATAGTTTCAGCCATTTTATCTAATTTGGGGTCCCAGTGAGGGGCTCTAGTGTGAGGCGTGGCTGCTTAAGATACATGCTGCATAAATTACTCATATGTACAGTAATTGACGGGATACCAGAGGAAAATAAAACAGTTGATAATGCATGGAGATAATAAGTGCAGGACGTGAGCAATTTGCCTTAAAAAAAGATCTTTCCATTTTGTGTTTCAGCTAACACATAGATCGCTAAGGATACAAGCAATCTTGCTTGGCAAATCCTGGACACAAAGACTAAAATCCTGAGACTATTTGCAGAGTCATTGCTTTGACAGATCAAGGGAGCTGGGAAATATAAACAGAGCATATTCTGTAATTGCAGCAGCTCTGGGCTGTGTGCTGATGCCACCCTGAAGGCCCTGCTTTGATGGTTTACAGTACCTTCTCAGGGAAGTTTCCATTCTGATCCTTAGACTGAGGCATATATGATGCTGCATGAAAGGCATAAAAAAACAGAGACTTGTAAGGTAATCTTTGAATTATGTATCAGTCGGAACAGTGATTTTATGTAGAACAATCCTGTTTGTCCACAAAAAAATAATACCAGACTCACAGACAGTTATGCGTCGTTGTCGTGGCGACCCCTCCTCTTCCTGGTTGTTTGTGGTCTCAGTTAAAGCGTGGAAAGTGGCGCTCCTGGTCAGTGTGTCCCCGAGACTACAGGAGCGAGTTATCTGCCTCTGTCATATAATGCAGGTTTCAGTTAACATAAGACTTGCCCAGTCAAATCAATTTGCAGTCAGTAAGTATTTTTAGCTTCCTCAGTCATAATACACAGTCACAGTCTAAATCAGATAAAGCACATTTCCTCCAGGAATGTGTAGTGACTCTCTGCAGATACTTTTGAATACATGAAAGGTGCATGTGTGGGCCCTGTTGGCCATAAATAAAGCATGTGATGTACAGTATAAGGAAATCGTGAGAAAAGCTTTTGGGAAAAAAAGTTCTTTGCATGGTCTTAATACCCGTTGGTGAGTTAATGTGTCCATGTTGGCGGCGTTAGGTAGCAGACCAAGATCAGCTTTCAGCATGTCGGAGCAGGTTACATCCCTGTTGCTCAGGTCATCTGCATAGTAACAGAAACAGTGAGTCAATAAATGAAGAATTCACCCTAGTTAGTCTTATCTTAGTCCTTGTTTTCACCCTTTTAAGCCACTGTTGTACTTTTATGGTTTTAGGCCTTCTCAGCCTTTTTCTGTCACACAGGTCACCAGGTCTATTTGCAGTGCATTAGCTGGTGCTGATACTGGACGCAGCTAGATGGGGTTGCTTGGCAACCCGTTAGACACACTAATGTCCGTCTGGTTGATGACATACTTCTCTGACAACCCAAGTTCTTTCCCACAGAAAGCCCATATTCCTACATTTTCCAAATGTCACTTGGTCAGCGAGCAGATATCTTTTTTTTCTGCTATCATAACAAGCAAGACGAATGAGGCTGAGAATATGGCATCCAGGCTAGGCCCCAGCTTTCTCAGGCAACACAATGCTGTGATGTGATAGTGATAGATGTTGGAATGTTCTGAGTTGTAACTGCTTTAAGTTTTATACCTTCTCATATTGAAGCTTCAAGACGCCCTTTTACCCTTTAAACAACAGTAGTCTTTTCAAATAGTTTACCCAACAAAAAATTCAGCCTAATTTCTTAAACACATGTTTTTCATTTCAGGGGCCTGTCTCTGAAAGGCTGGTTTGACATGGACAGGAGTTTAGATGGAGTCAGAATCAGATAAGACAGTGTAATTGGTTTATGTGTGTCAGCAGTGGAATCCTGTCTGGGTCCTGGAGAGACAGTGGAGTACAAAGAGGGGGGCAGCGAGCTGGCACTCTCTTCATCACCTGGCTGGCCTGTGATTCACTCTGTAGAAGATCATTAAGTCTGGCCAACAGCTAAGAAAATTCAAAAACACAACTGTCTTGTCTAGCCCAGCGACGAGTCTCTCAAGATGTGTAGGAGCACCCTCCTCTAGCTGACCTCAGACACAACATCGTGTCTTTGAAATCCTGAGAAAATCACTTCTTGTCTCGCTCTGTGACTTCCTTTCACCATGCATGGGAGAAGGGACACGATGGAGAGCTGTCTGAGAATGCTTATGGAGGGTAGCAGTACACCCACCCTACCACAGCCATGTTCAGACTTCACACAGTCTGCATCTTCCAGGAAAAGCCCAATCAAAACAAAGAAGGACAGGACATTTTGGGCAGGCTTAGGGACACAGCCTGATGTTGCCTTAAAGGGTGAAATCACCAGTAATGGAGAGATGGACATCATTCCCAGTCTGGCTCAGTCAGCACAAGTCAAAGCACGAGTGAGTTCTCTCACCCTTGACTGGTTAGCACAGACAAACACATTGCATACTTGCATGCACACATACAGACACTGAGTAATCTAGGTTTGGTACATGACAACCATTCACACACAGACAGACACAGACTTAACGACAAAGCAAAGTTTTAGAGTCAGAACTTTTCAGCACATTTATGTAATGGATAGGCAAAAGTGATGCTTATCATTTCCAGTATTATTGTCCTCCTCTGGTTTGAAAAGAAATTAAGCTCTTTGAGAGACGACTGAGGGAGGAGAGCATGCTGAGTCACAGGAACCCAAAACCTGGGAACCGCCTGCCCAGCCATGCACTGGGAATACACACACAATGGCTAAAAAGGGATTCCAACAAAGGGGAACTTCTGCAACTCCCAAAGGAGGCGTTCGAGGTACTGTAGCCATGTCACATAATGACTGCAATTTCATCTGAATGGGGAAGTGAGATCAAAACGAAGAGGCAACACATGAGCTCAACAGCTGGATGGAACAATCTATCATCTGGTGCCATAAACCTCTCACCTAGAGTTTCTCTAAATGGAAAAAGAAAGATTTAAATACAAATAATAAGTAAATTTACCTCATGAAAACTCACCCAAGTTGTGCTCAGTAAATGATAAAAGATTTATTCCAGTGTTGAAGCTCCCTATGTGACAGAGAAAGAAATCAAGACAACCATTGGGACAGTTTCATTTGAAATAAAAGAAGAACAGAAAGGACGCTCTAGTATTCTGGGGGAAATGCTTATTGTCTTTTTTTAACCTCAAGTTAGATGAGAAGAACAGTTTCAACATCGCCAAGTCAAGAGATTTTTCACAGCAGATATTTTGTCATAAGTGTTGTTGTTACTAACAACATTAACAATGGCTCTGTTGTGTGGAAGTATCCCGGTAAGCCATGACAGTGTGACAGTGAGCCAGCAGAATGTACAATACCAGGACTCTGAAACTGAAGCAGCTGAGTGGAATTCAGACATCATTTAGTTTATCATTTACAACTTCATTTTTCCTACTGTGGCGTTGCTATGTCAGAAAGGCCTTATCATGGAGCTACGTCGTTATTAAACACACAGAAAATTATCTGACATTAATTTCCTCTTCTTTCTCCTAGCAAGAAAGCAAACAACCATATTCCCCAAAATAGAGTATTGCTTCAATGAAACAGCACTGGAGATGTTATTGACTCACTTTTCTGAGGGTACTCAGGGAGAGGAGCCACCTGGTAGGCGCTACGTAAGAACCTGGGCTTTTTTTTCTCTTTATCCCATTCCTTGGTTGGCACAGCCTCTCTTTCTTTTCCAAACCGATCACTTAGGCCCTCTTCAGGTTCAGCTGTACCATCAGCATCACTGACCTTATTCTGAGCCAGTGTGAATTTGTCCGTGGACTCCTCTGACTCCACACTCTCCATCTTTTCCTCATAACTCTCTTGGTCACCAGCAGCAAAGCTACCATCACTGCCAGATGTATGTGCCACACTCTCCTCTGAATTAATGTCAAAGAACTGATCATCATCAGCTATGTCAGATGGCGTGGGTGGGATCAGATTAATGACAGGTGGTGTCAGGAGGCTCCCAGAAGCTGCCGTGCTATTAGTGCCACTCTCAAACAGCAACGGGTCTTCCTCCTCTTCTTCTTCCTCCTCTCCACTGGTACAAATGATGGCCAGATTGACTTGGGGTTGTATGGGGAGTGAAGACAGAGGCTTCAGCCGTTTCTTTTTCAGAGCCCTTTGGCAGGCAGACACAGAGCTGGCTGAGCGGGCCATGCTGTTCCTTGGGGTCAGGGGTTCCTCCTCGAGCAGGCTGAAGCTGCTGTTAACTATCCCCAGATCTTCCACTGTAATCTGGATAGCCTCCTTCTCACCTGATCCCCGTTGATCCAAGTGTGGATGCTGAGGGCCCCCATTAATCTTCCTTTCCTGCTCCTGCAGAGAATCCTTCTCCTCACCCCGCAAGCATGAGCAGCAGAACAGCCTGTGTGAAAGACGCTGAGTGCTCTTTCTCCATATGTGCCGGCGAGGCCGCTGATTCCCTGCATTTGTACTTGCCATAGCTGCCTGACTATACGCTGGCTATACTGCTAAACACACCATTCTTCAGTTTGATCAGATAAACCTTTGACGAGGAGATAAACAACCTTCCACACCTTTGAGATATCCACAGTATCTGCACACAACACAAACACTCATCTGCAACATGGGTTGCTTAGGAGAGGAGTAAAAAAAATGCATCAATTCATGCTCTCTGGGTCAGGTGAGCACTTGAAATGAATGCAAGGCTTTGATATGTTAAGCAGTATCATTGTAGATACAGCTCCGGTTACAAAGGGCTCTAATAAGATAGAAATACCCTGCCAAAATAAAATCTTGGCAGTAAACTAATAAGAAGAAAAGTAAATTGATAATAAAGAAAATCACTCATGATTATACAGTCTGTGTGTGTGTTAGTGCACTTGTCCCTGCATGAATGTTCATATGATTGTATTATTACAAGTCAGTGTTTAGTTTCTCTGTGGGTCATCTGTCGGGGACTTACAGCATGTATGGAAACAGGTGAGAATATGGGCTGGCGGATGCTTGGCTCATACAACCCCCATGGCATCAGATAACATTTCCTTCATTCCACAGGCCCAGTCCTGTTCTCTGCTACATGATAAGTCATCCAGCATCAGCTTAAAACCATTTTGCCACACCACCCACATTGAAGGCTTGTATGAAAAGATGATATCCGTGGTTTTTTCTCACGTCCATGAAGTGACACTAGAGTGATGAGAATAATTACTCCTCCACCAGTATCCACCTCTCACCTTGCAGTCTCCCTTTGGAGTGAAAGGAAGCTGCTACTGTTTGTTTCTCTAACATTACTTTCCTCAGGTTCTTCAATTTCTACCCCCATCAGGTTATCCCCTTTGAGAAATCCTGTGTTTGCAAGCCAGTTTTCAAAAGCCAAGAGGCTTACCTGCTATGAAATCCAGATTAACTTCCTTGGATTTTTAAGTTATTCTACATGTCTTGCTTCTGTCATAAAAGTGCCAATGCATTATATTACTCACACTCATATGGAAAAGTCAGTGCTATGTTTAAATTAAGATCTACCACAAAGGTTGCAAAAAAAAAGGTTTCTTAACAACACTGACTATTTTTCCCCAAATAAAAGGGGACCTCAGACACAGTAACTGTTCTCAAATTAGGCTAAACAATTTGTTGGCGTGCAGTAGTATAATTTTTGCACACTGGCAGCAGATATAAATGAAAGTAGTTCATTCTATTTGTTTAGATACCGAGAGCTTTTCAGGTAATAAAGTTCCAGAGAGACTTTGTTGCTAGGTGCAAAATTACATCACCTCGAGGTGATTTCAGTGGGAGGGCGGCTGACTATTGACAGACTTAGTGCAGGGCTGAAGACTCTTTGTAGTGGAGTGAAAAGGAGTGCTTTTATACCCATGTTACTCAGAGACCCGCATGATGTTTTCCACTGGGAGAAAAGATGATCTGAAATGGCCACAGAATTAGTGATAGATGAGAAACTAATTTGGTGTAGTTTTCTTCACATTTGAACGTGACACAGCAAAGCTAAAAGGCCAAGACATAAGCTGAGAGGTATAGTACATTTGCCTTAGAAAAAGAAAACTTGCCCTCCACTTAAAAACAGCTGCAAACCATTTTTAGAATTAGGCATTCAAGAGAAGAAAAATATATATATAATATATGTAAATTGTATGATTGAGTGTGTTGAGAACAAGTGCACATTGTTAAAACATTGTGCAATATTATAAAGGGGGGAAAGTAGGGGTCTGTGACATAATCCTGCTCAATACTGTTTGGCCAACAAAGGGGGGCAGTAGAGAGCAGATGCACAACACTGACAGGATATAAACCAGAACCCACCACTTCTTAGAAAGACCTCCTCTGGTATTCACAAGTCTGGATAAAGTTAAACCACACAAGTGCTTTTCATTCGCAGTCTAGTGAGGCCAGCTTTCATGATATCTTGATCTGGTATTTGCAAGAATATCAAGTTTGGTCATAATCCCTTTTACATGTTGTTTGAATATACATAAGCGGTAGGGGAACGAAAAGATATATGTAGGATTAATGTTCCATCTCCTTTATATGGGATATGTTTGAAATTAGCTGAAAATCTGCGACCTCACTGGCAGATTTATGAAAAATTAGTTCCTTATGATAAATGTTGAGAGACAGTGTAAGTGACAGAGCAGACAAAGATGAATGCTTCACAGCTGCCATAGCCTGGGGCCATTTCTGGGAGAGATGACTGAGACAGACATAGAAACCCACTAGTCTCCACTCTCGGAGTGACGATGTAAATTTTAAACTATTCTAATTATTTGTCTTTAACTTAGCCTATTAAGTTTATTTGACTTTCTCCATGCATTCATGTAGTTACATCACTGGACTTCAGTGCACTTGGTGAGTTAGTCTACATGTCCAGACATAGGTCCATGAGTATCTGAGCATGCTCTGAGTGTGTTTTTTCTGGTCTCACTACCAGAGAGTGGTAGATTCTGGACAGCCCCCAGATGGCCGTGCAGCCAACATCAACACCAGCCCTCAGCTCTGGGAGGGCTCCTCTCTAAAACACCCTCACCTCTTGCTCAGTTGCAGCACGGTTAAACATGTTGAACATTTCCTGTGACAGTCTTGTTTCCATAAGCATCAAGACTCTGGATCCATAGTCAGCAGCGGGATCTGTGGTGAACATGACCCTGTTTAGCCATAGAGAGATCTCACACAGGCACACACACTTAAAAAAAAAAAGAAAGAAAGAAATAGAAGCTTTCTCTCTGCTCTAATTCACAGAAGAGAAGAATGCTTTAACCAGCCTGTAATTGCATTTACTAAACAAGACAGCAGCATGAGTCACTTTCCAGAGGCAAGGAATGTCACCTCTTCCTGTGAAACCAGGAGGAATGGAGGTAGTCATTATTTCAGAATAACATTCACAACCCTCTTTATATCATCAAGGATGTTGAGCAACCGCAGAGGGCCAAACAACGCGGCGGCATTCTTAGAGCAGCGAGGGGGGTCTACAAAAATAAGCATATTCAACCGAGGATGTTGAGTTCCTGATTCAACAGATAAATCAACACATCACGAATTGAGCCTTTTCACCACCAAGGTTCACTTAAACAGATGCATCCATTTTGCTTATGCAGATCTTTCTGTTTGTGCTCGCCACCACCAAACCTCTTGAAAATTGGACCAAGTGTGCCAAATATTTGCAGTTTCCCCTGTGGCTGATACCTAATAGCATGAGAAAAGGAGTTCGGTGGGGGGAAGGAGAGGGCAGTGACCTTGAGAACTTCTGGGTTGAACTTTCCCCTCCATACCCCCCTCACCCACCAGTCCTATGCTCCCTAATCAATTACTGTTGGCAGTCAGGAGACCACCAATGATTAGCAGCAGCAAGGCAGACGTGGTTTGGGGGTTGGAGTGTGGGATGTGGGAGGCTGGGAGGGTGGCGCGTGGGGGAAAGGAGAGGAAAGGGGTCTTACAAACGACTTTGATCAAAACGCTGCCTCAAGAAAAGCGTAATGCAACAGGACCCCCCTGGTTTAAATGACCCTTGTTTTATTTATCTACGAGAATGAAAGACGGCATCCTTTTGTATTTTGACTCTCAGACTGTTGCACGTGAGTGGACAGCTGGAGATCCCAAATATTGTTTACACTCACACATGCACAGTAGAAACCAGCCGAGACCAACAGGCTCAAAGACAACAACACAAAAACACCGCACATAAACACAAACCTTTTTTGTTGTTCAGGACTTTGAAGCAGGAGGGAAATAATTTACAGGCTCTTTTTTTATGAGAATCTGTTCTGTTCCCACGCCCAGTGTGGCAGGAAAGCTCAACAAAATCATTTGTCTTAGATTGGCTGATTGGCTTTCTGGAATCTAAGTATGTCTTTGACGGGGATTGAAGTTTAATTTGATGAGAGGAACTCTCCCACCACACCCACAACAGGCCTCCTCTCACTTTTATTCTTTTGCTCTCTTTTTCTCTCCATCTCCAATTGTTCCGTCTCTCTTCTTGAAGTTTAGAGGTTTATCTTTTTTATAGAGTGAGAGTGAGGCTGACAGAAAAAAGGGGCCCACACTCCTGCAGACGTCAAAAATGTTTGTGTCATTAATTCTCCCCTCTTGTTTTATGGTCGGGGGTGAGACAGAGAGAGACTGTTTATGTGCAAGGGGGAGAGAGTGAGAGAGATAAACACAGAGAGATAGATTAAATAAAGAAAGATAAAAGAGGAAGAAAGAATAAAAGGCAGAAGATATGAGCCAGAGAAGCAGGGATACAACAGCCCTGACTCCATACAGCACAGCAGACTTCAGCGAGCTCACACAAACCTGCTTTACAAGATGTGGCTTCCTCCGGGGCTCTCCGTGGCTAGCCCTTTCACCAACTCTCCCTGAACACAATTAATGGCATTATGAGCACCACTGGAAAGCTTCAACTAAACAGTTGTGTCTACAATTTTCCCATGGGAACACCATTTTGTGTAGATGCCAAGCACTCCGAGGTGATACGGTTATCTCCTCTCACTGATGTTCTCCTTCGGGACTTGCACTGTTGAGATAGCTTTGAGGAAATAAAGTGAAATCAAATTAAGTTTTATCTGTAATTTCAGAGCCAACAAGGATTATCATGATACATCACTGAGCAATGTGGTCTGGACTCTGACTCGGGCAGTTTTGGAATTCTGTCCGTGGTATTGTTTGCTGCTCTGGGTTTGTCTTTGTCATGAGATGTTTTTCACAGCCAGACAAGTATGGTCACTGTGATGTCCACAGCCAGAGCATCTGAGCCTCATCAGGCAGGCATTTCAAAGCTGCTGTCATGGGTATTTAGAAAGGGGCAGAACAAGGACAAAGGCCGACCATTGGCAACTTGTCCATTTTGTTGCCCCTTTGAGGTTTCCTAACGATGCCTGTGCCCTCATAGAAATCACTGCAAATTAATTTTAACACTCAGTGAAAAGACAGATTAGTGCCGATAGGATGGCACAAAGGGTGTTAAATATGGCGAGCAGCATGCTGGACCA